CCCAAAATCATTTTCTCTACTCTTTCTCTGGAAATAATACTGTAGTCAAGTGACCACAAAACAAGTACTAAGTAAAAACACATTTTCTTCCTAAATCCTATAAAATCAGTACCTATATGATAAAATATCAACTGTGCATCAATTTCCCACAATTAACTCTAAATTAATTCAACAATAATGTATACATATATTTGTGCTATCTTCTTGCTCACTACAAATTAGCCAAATATATCTGGACATTAAGATAGAAGTAATATCATTCAAATATATACTAAATTCCCCTTCTCATGGTTTGACTCTCCTAGACCATAAATTCAAACATATCATGTGTCACCTAAGAAAAAAAAAACATACGCCAAAATATTACAGACTTCACATACAACCCAGACACAAAATATTCCATATGTAATAAGGGAATACAAGAGAGATTCACAATGACCCAACCACTCCAGAATCCTAAACTCTCAGAAAAGTTTTGCAGAATTTTATTTTAAAGGTTACCCATTTCTTAATTCCCAAATATACTGTAATAAATTTTTTGCTCATATAGTGTGGGTATAAATAAGGAAAAAGAATGAACATCAAAGATAATCTCAATTGTCCTTAGGGTAAATATCATAGGACTTTTTAAATTAACTATAACATGTCGAGCACACACACACACAAAAAAAAAGGCATAAAAATTTAACAAACACCTTTGCGCCCACCACCTAAGTTAAGACATAAAACATTACCAAAATAGTTATAGCCCCTGGGGTACTACCATGAACTGTGCTCCACTTTCTCCAACATAAAGATATCCACTCCCTGGAAGTGAGTACATTACTTTTCTTGTAGACTTTTACCACACACATACATATTCCTAAACCAATGAGGATGAGGAGCAATTTTGCTCCCTATTGGGTATTAGGCAATATCTGGAAATATTTGGGGTTATCATGACTGTATCTATGGGTAGAGGCCAGGGAAGCTGGTCTACAATGCCCAGAACAGCCCCCTACAACAAAGAATTATCTAATTAGTCCAAAACAGCAATAGTGCCAAGCTAAGCAACACTGCTCCAAACAATAGTACTGTTTTGCACTTTAACACATCATAAGTTTCTTTTCCAAAAAACTTTACTTTCTTGGTGTATTTGCTTAATATTAATTTTGTCTTCTATACAGAACTTCACTGTATAAATTCAGTTTGTTTACCCATTCTTCTATGTGTTTTTTGGGGGTTTTGTTTTTTTAAATATATTTTATTGATTTTGTACAGAGAAGAAGGGAGAGAGATAGTTAGAAACATCGATGAGAGAGAGTCATCGAGCCTCTTGCACACCCCCTACTGGGGATATGCCCGTAACCAAGGTACATGCCCTTGACCCGGAATCGAACCCGGGACCTTTCAGTCCCCAAGCCGACACTCTATCCATTGAGCCAAACCAGTTTCGGCTACCCATTCTTCTGTTGATGTACCTTTAAGTTTTTTCCAATTTTTCGCTCTTTAAATCTTTTTTTTTTTTTTTTTTTTTTATTTCAGAGAGGGAGAGGGAGGGAAAGAAAAACATCAATGGTGAAAATCACCGATCAGCTGCCTCCTGCACACCCCCTACTGGGAAAAAGCCCACAACCCAGGCCAGGTGGCCTTGACCGGAACGAAACCTAGGACCTTCAGTCACAGGCTTTATCCACTGAGCCAAACCAGGTTCTAATTTTTTTATTCTACATGCAATATTGCTGTGAACATTCTTATACAAGCCTCTTGATTCTCAATGAAAGATTCTGTCTAGGGCAGTAATTTTCAAAATGTGATTCTTGAACCCCTAGGGTAGTCCCCAGGACCCTTTCAGGGGCTTCATGAGGTCAAAGTATTTTCATAACTATACCAAGGTTATATTTATCTTTTTCATGTTGGCATTGCAATGGTAGGTAAAAATGCTGGTGAGTTAGCCAAGTTAAAACACTCATTAATGAGACATATGGGTAGCCTGTACCTCCTGAAATAATGCAATTCTTAGGGCAAAACATCACATCTACGGTACTTATACCTAAAACACATATCTGAATTGAATCGTGAGAAAACATTAGAGAAACCCAACGAAAGGATAATCTATGGAATTATTAGTGAGTGTCAAAGTCATGAAAGACAAAGAAAGACTAACTGAACCAGATCGGAAGAGATTGAATGACAACTAAATGCAATGTGTGGTCCTGGATTGGATCCTGGAGCAGAAAAAGAACGTTAGTGGGACAACTGGCAAAATCTCAATAAGGTCTGTAGATTAGTTAGTAGTGTTGTAGCAATATTATTTTTCTGCTTTCAATAATTGTACTTTATAAGACATTAATATTTTAGGACTATGGCTGAAAATCCAAAAGGAACTCTTTTTACTAGTTTTGTAGTTTTTTGTAAGGCTGAAATTATTTCAGAATAAAAATTGTGATCCTTTAACTATTGTGTAAATAAAAAAGTATGGTATATAATAAATACGTATTAAATCTTCAAAATGTAATATAATGCTAACATCTATTTTTAAATATTTTGAAGAAGAAAAAAAGAAAAACTTGGATAGCAGTATTATATTCCTGGGGCAAAAACAGAGCCAAGAGTTTGTGATTTGTCCCGGTATTTCATAAGAAAACTAGCTGCCCTTCTAGGAGTGTTTTAAAATGTTTGCTGAAGAGCCTGGCCTGCCCTAGCCCATTTATCTCAATAGATAGAGCATCCGCCCAAGGACTGCAGGGTCCCAGGCTCTATCCTGATACCTCAGTTGCAGGCTGGATCCTAGGCCCTAATCAGACCACATGAGGAAGGCAACCAATTGATGGTCTCTCTCTCACACAGATATTTGTCTCTCTGTCTCTCCCCCTCCCTTCCATAATCTCTAAACATCAGTGGGAAAACATCCTCAGGTGAGGATTTTAAAAAAGCATCAACGCATGAACCAAGAGGTCCCCAGTTCCATTCCCAGTCAGGTTACGTGCAGGGTTTTTGGGCTTGATGCCCAGTAGGGCGCGTGCAGGAAGCAGCCAGTCCATGTTTCTCTCATGGAACTTTCCATCGCTCCACTCCTCTCCTTTCCTCTCTCTCTAAAAAATAAAAATAAAAGCTGAATGAATTTTTTTTTTAATTGTTTGCTAAAGAATCAGTTGAACAAGATGAATTGCTACACACAGCAAATTAAATGCATGGAATAATCTTGAAAATTAAACTAAGATTTTATAACAGTTAATCTCTGAAAAGCACCTGCTCTATTTAAAATAATGAAACTGTTTATAGAACAGATATACTCCATACTAGACATTAATATCCATTTAACAAATTGCTGTAGTACGAGATTTGTTACACTTTACCTTTACCCTGGAAAGACATTTAAATTTCCCTATAAACCTACAATAACTTATCTCATGGTGCCTCCAAATTATTGAGTTATGGTCAAACTTTAGTTTGAGGTAGCATGAAAACATTTTAAGAATGTACAAAAACAGGTATAGGCCTCATACAGTGTTGCTAGGAGTTTAAATTGGTAAATGTCTTCAGAGGGCAATTAGTCGCTATCTATCAAAATGTTAAATATGTGTATCCTTTGATGCAATTCCACCTCAGATATACTCAGCACAAATGCACAAGGATACACTTACAAGGATTTAATCAGTCCATCTCTGTAAATAAGAAGACATGAAACACTATCAATGCCCATCAAAAAAGCACTGGTTAAATAAAATACTGCATCCAGTCACTGGAATACCATGCAGCTATGAAAGAATAAGGTGCCAACATGGCACAATTGCCAATCCATATTATTAAGAAACAAAAGTGCAGAAGAGAACAAAGTTTACTACTATTTTTGCTTAAAGGGTAATAGATTTATAGTATATTAATATATATGCTTGCAATGAACAGAGTATTGTGTAAGAGTACACAAGAAACTGCGAACAATGGCTGCCCCTTTTTATACTGTTGAAACTTTCCTTTTGGTACTTCACGTACCAATGTTTCAAAAGTCAAGTAGGAAACACAATTTTATGAATAATCTCAAAAAATTGAGTTGGCTTGTATTCATATGCCTTTTGATTGCTGCTAACAATAACTAGGTACCCACTTAAGGATGGTAGGCTATGTCAGAAGTAGCTTATTTATGCATTCTAAAAAGTATCAAATTTTGAATTTGAACTATTTTCTACTGAATACTATTAAGGATAAATATATATGAAAAATGAATTTGATTAAAACAAGTTAGACCTTTCATTTACATTATATAAAAATTCTAGAGTCAATAACACACAGATCCCTGAAATTTTGTGAATCAGGAAGGACACTGACTCATTGCTGTGTTATTGGATAAGTCTTGGACAGAACCTTACATACAAAATGAGATGTTAACAAAAACATGTATCGGGTGGTTTCTATGCTTATTTTTCACTTGGAAAAAAAGTATTTAACAAAAAAAAATGCTTAGACTGCTTTCCCTCTATTGGTATAACGATATAAAATGGAACAATTTAGATGAAAAATCATTCCACGGGGTCCCAAGCAGCATCTAGCTGCCGAACTCCTAGTGGGGAGAGGAAGGGAGGGGGGTACCAAGGGCCCCTTGGCAATTGTCACCAGTGAACTAAGCACCATATGGCAAGGCAGGCCTCCCTTCTGACAGTTATCGCTTGGGGTCTGATTCATTTCTGATTAATTTCAAAGGCTTGCTAGACAAGCCTCTCCAGACCCCTACGCTACAGAAGGGGGAGGAGGGGAGCTGTCTGTTGTCTTCCCCGGGCTTTGTGTCTTCCAGGCTGGAAAGCATCCTGGCGATGGTGTTGCTCACCTTTTCCCTTAGTGATGGGGGGGGGGGGGGGGGTCCTTTTCTGCAAGTTTTTGTTTATTAGACACTGACCCTAAAATTCCTTTTGCCTCTCCCCTTCCCGCTCCCTCCAGCCGGGCGCCCGGAGAGGCGTTCCACCCAGGCCTCCCCCGGCGGCCGCCCGCCCGCCCGCCTCGCCCTGCCCCGCGCGGCGGCTTACCGGTGGGCGCGCTGTCCAGGATGCGCAGGTCGTAGGCCCCGGAGCAGCGGTAGTTGGCGGCGGTGCCGTTGTCCCACACCACCACCACCTCCTCGGGGCTCTCGAAGCTCCGGACCGTGCCCACATGGCCCTCGCCGCCGTCCTGCTTGCCCCACTTCCAGTCCGGGCCGCGGACCACCCGCGCCCCGACCCCCTCCACCATCACCCGGTTGTTCCGGGAGTTACTCATCGGGGCGCCGGCGGTGGGCTCCGCCGCAGCCGCCGCCGCTGCCGCCGCCGGGGGCCCCGGGAGCGCGCCGGGCCCGGGCCGGCCTCTGGGCGCCGGCGGGGGCGGCAGCGGGCCGCGGGGGGCGCGGGGGGAACCCTCGGGGACGGCGGCGCGATCCCCGCCGGGCCCGCCGCCACTCCCCAGCCGTCGCCGTCGCCGCCGCCGCCGCCGCGCCCCCGCTCAGACTGGACGCCGGACCGCAGCGACTCGGAGGCGGCGGAGGCGGGAGGGCGGGCGGCGCGGAGGGGAGGAGGGAAAGGGAGGGCGCCGTGGGCGGGGCCTCCTCCGCTTCCTCCCGGCTCCCGACCGGGCGACGGCGACGGCGGCCAGGAAACCGCGCTCTCCCCCGGCCGGCCGGGAGCGCGGGGAGCCGAGTGGAGCTAGCCCGGGGGGAGCGCCGAGGGCGGCGGCGGGGGGCGAGCTTAACTGCCGGCCTCTCCTCTCCCCGGGCCCCACGCCTCGGTGGGCACCCGCGGGCCGGGTGGGACCAGCCGGCGTCCGGCGAGCGCCCCGGCCCAGGGCGCCGCTCTCAGCCCCACGCACGCCGCCGCCGCCGCGCTCCGCCCCGCCGCGGAGTCCCCTCCGGGCGCCGGCGACTCCACATCCGGGCACCGGCGCGCCCCCGGCCCGAGCACGCCCTCCCTCAGCGCCTGGGAGAGGGGCCTCCAACACAGCGGGTGGGGAGGGCTTGGGGGCCGCGCGACCCGGGGAGAAAGGGGAGGGGGATCGGCCCCGGAGCCGCAGGCCGGGCCCCGGGGGAGTGCGCATGCGCGCCACGAAGCGAGGGGAGGGGGGAGGAAAGAAGAAAGGCGGCGTGGTGGGCGGACGCCGGCCTCAGCCCCGGGGATGGAGACGCGGCGGCTCCCGGCGGTTTCCTGCGGAGGGTGCGGCGCACCCCACTAGCTGGGAGGAACGGGGCGGGGCGAGGAGCTCCGGCTGGCGGGCCTGGCGGGCTGGAGGAGGTGGGGGGGGCGGTGCGACCCGGGTAACTGGTAGCTATGGTGAGGTCAGTCCTTATGCTAGTGTACTAAGTGTGAATTTGGGATTCCGTGTTGTGTTTTTACATTTTTTTTTTATTTTTAGTCTTTTTTGTTTTTTAATGGGGAGGGGAGATAGAACAAAGTATGGCATTTTTGCATGAGTCAGTTGAAAACATTTCCAACTATTATAGAATGGATGATGTTAGCAGAGTGGTTGGTGCTGAATGATGTGTGTTGTGTCTTGCTTTCCTGCGGAGCCACAGTGGTAAGTGGACTCCAAACAGCAAGCTTCCAGGAAAGTGTACAAGCACCTTCCCCGCTGAGAACCCTCACACCCACCCACCACATAATTTAGTCCCAGTCACAACATACAACTTTGAAACGAAAATAAGAAGGGTGTAACAGAGGGTTCTGGTGGCTGTTATTTAAATGGCATTACGATGCCCTAGCAGGCTTGACTCAGTGGATAGAACGGCCGCCTGAAGGGTCCCGGTTCCTCCGGTCAAGGGCACATGCTGGGGTTGCAAGCTCGATCCCCTGTAGGGGACGTGCAGGAGGCAGCTGATTGGTGATTCTCTCCCATCGGTGTTTCTCTCTCCCTCTCCCTCCCTGAAGTCAATAAAAATATTTAAATAAGTAAATAATAAAATAAATGACATTATGATGTGTAGGATTTAAAATCATGTTTCAGCCCTCACGGGTTTGGCTCTGGATAGAGCATCGGCCTGTGGACTGAAATGTCCCAGGCTAGATTCCGGTCAAGGGTTGTGGCACATCCCCAGTAGGGGGTATGCAGGAGGCAGCTGATGGATGTTTCTCTCTCATTGATGTTTCTAACTCTCTATCCCTCTCTCTTCCTCTCTGTCAAAAATCAATAAAATATAATTTTTTTAAAAATCATGTTTCAGCCCTGACCATTGTGGCTCAGTGGATAGAGCGTCGTCCTGCGGACTGGGGAGTCCCAGGTTCGATTCCGGTCAAGGACATGTACGTTGGTTGGGGGCACATCCCCGGTGGGGTGTGTGCAGGAGGCAGCTGATGGATGTTTCTCTCTCAATGATGTTTCTAACTCTCTATTCCTCTCTCTTCCTCTCTGTAAAAAATCAATAAAGTATATATATTTTAAAATAAAATAAATAAAATAAATCATGTTTCACAGCTCAGCACGGATGCATTGTAAGCATACACCATGCTTTTCCTAGAAGCCAAAGAAGTAGGGAATATTCCAGCAGAATTGAATAATCAAGTGAAAAGAAAGGAGACATAAAATGTAACCAATGAATTATGTAGTGAAATAAATCAATATTCTCAATTTTTTCTTGTAAATAAAATAGGAAAATGCCAATATGTAGTCCCAAAGGCCAAGTAGAACTAATTTTAGAAACTAAACAAAGCATTTGCTTAAAAATACGCCAGTCAAATTTCTAGCAATGTCAAACATTTTCATTCTGGAATTTTTTTCTTTTCTTTATACCTTCTTTCTTTTTTTTTTCTTTTTTTTTTTGTTACTATTACTTTTTAAATTTATCTTTTTTTAATATATTTTATTGATTTTTTAGAGAGGAAGAGAGAGGGATAGAGAGTTAGAAACATCGATGAGAGAGATTCATCGACCAGCTGCCTCCTGCATGGGAATGTGCCTGCAACCAAGGTACATGCCCTTGACTGGAATCGAACCCGGGACCTTTTAGTCCCCAGGCCAACGCTCTATCCATGGAGCCAAACCGGTTTCGGCTTAAGTTTATCTTTATTGTTGAAAGTATTACAGAAACTTTCCTCCATTGCCTCCCTCCAGCTCCTACCCGCTTCCCAGTCTTTCATCCCACTATTGTCTATGTCCACAGGTTATACATATTTGCATGTAAGTTCTTTGGTTAATCTCCCTCTGCACCCCTTACCCCCTTTCATCCTGGATTTTTTAATGTGCTCATGCTGACGTTGCTCAACTACAACTAATCAATTAAAGACATTTCAGCATTCCTGCTCTACCAGCTCTTTCTTCTTTCTCTGGGATCTTTTCTGATTTCCTCCTTTCCTTGTTAACCAGTTAAATTGATCACGTGAATTAATACGTTGATGAAAAGATTTTAGAAAATTTATAGCCACCGCACAAGTTATACTCGTCATTAACTTTGTAGCTTAAAGTAAGTTGACTCAAGTAAAAGCCAATCAAAACGTTAGATTTTTTTAAAATATATATTTTATTGATTTTTCACAGAGAGGAGGAGAGAGGATAGAGAGTCAGAAACATCGATGAAAGAATCATCGATCAGCTGCCTCTTGCACATCCCCTACCGGGGATGTGCCCGCAACCGAGGTACATTCCCTTGACCGGAATGGAACCTGGGACTTTTCAGTCCGCAGCCCGACGCTCTATCCACTGAGCCAAACCGGTCTCGGCCAAAACGTTAGATTCTTAATAGAGCAACCTTGCATTTTCTATCAAACACAGTATATTAATAATTGCTTTCACATGTTTATGTTTTGTCTCACCCAAGAATTTTGTACTTACTAAGATATAGTCTAATATTTAGGTAGGCATTTATTCTTTCTGTTAACCTCTACTTATTTGTTTATTTTAAACATTTTATCATTTTTTTATTTTCAATTACAGTTGAAATACTTTATTTATTACATTAGTTTTAGTTGTACACACCAGATTAGACATTATATACTGAAGGGTCCCGGGTTCAATTCTGGTCAAGAACACAGGCCAGAGTTGCAGGCTCAGTCCCCATTAGGGGGCATGCAGGAGGCAGCAATCATTGATTCTCTCTCATCATTAATGTTTCTATCTCTCCCCTCTCTCTTTCTCTCTGAAATCAATCAAATAAATAAATAAATAAAATATATAGAAAAGTTTTCATACTTTCTTCCCTCACTCCTCTGCATTTCTAGATGTTTAAATTGGTATTCTCCAAAGTAGACCCACACCAATTTGACTACTGTGTCCTACATGTGTCTGTCATGTTTAAAACCCATTCATTTGGCACATATGTTTGCTTATCTGCCTATCTGTTCAGAAACATGTAGGGTCATTCAAAACTAGTCAGATTTTTATTCCAACCATAAATGAGATGAAATCAATAAATCTTTGCCCCAGAAGTGAAGCAGTTTTATTATTCACCTATTCTACTACTATGAATGAATTTGTGATTGCTTTACAGACTACAGAAATGTATAATATTTGGAGAGCAGCTTTATAAGTTAGAGTTACATCTAGCACATATCACTCAGTAGCATTATGTAGTCTAGAATTCAGCCACATCTACTAACTAAAATGGAAGAAAAACGCAGCTTAGCTGAGTGCTCGAGAAGAAAAGCATGTCGTCTAGTGTCCACTTAGAAAAAACAGAGACCACTGTAACTATTCAAACAGATAGCATTTAACCCAACAAATTGTCTGCTAAAGTGTTGTAAGGACTGCAGACACCAAAAGAGATTCATAACTGGAAAACACCATCCCCCAGGACTAGAGGAAGAAAAGAGAAAAGGATGTTATCTAGGACCCATGACCACTGTGCCACTGAGGCTGCTGACATTGGAACCACTGCTGTTTTGTAGTAAGCTGGCAGCCCAGAAACCCAAAGGCAGAGAAAACAAGGAGCCCAAAGTCCCCACCGTTGTCACTGTCACTGCCGAAGTCAGAGCTCCAGGAGTGCAGGGCACACACACTCTGCTGCTGCAACCCTGTGACGGCCCTGCCTGAGTAGGAACCCAGACGCTACCAGAAATTCCATCAGAAACAAGAAACAATAAATTGCTTCTCTTTTCAGTTGGTCTCCCGTTAGTCTGCAACAAATAACTGGAATAGTTTACCCTGTTGAGTACTCAGCACCATTCTCACCTTCTACCATACTGAAACTTCCACATAAAAAAGAAATAACATCATGCATCTGCCTAATAGTATGCAACTATTCCACCTAACCACTTGAAATGAAGATACTGGCCGAAACCGGTTTGGCTCAGTGGATAGAGTGTCGGTCTGCGGACTGAAAGGTCCCAGGTTCAATTCCGGTCAAGGGCATGTACATTGGTTGTGGGCACATCTCCGGTAGAGGTTGTGCAGGAGCAGCTGGTCGATGATTCTTATCGATGTTTCTAGCTCTCTATCCCTCTCCCTTCCTC